ATAAAAGACAAGTTGAAAATAGGAAATAGAAAAAAACATGATGTAAAAAAAAAATCACATTCCTGTGCTATTCTGCGCGTTGTACAGGCTAACAAGTTCAATTCAATGAATCGTTATGTACGCCGAAACCTAATTGACTCTGATCCTGTCAAACAAGCGTGTGCCGTGTTGCCTCGCACGCAGCGATTACCGGCATGTATCCCGCTTGAATAGTGTCATTCGATGAGATCAGGTAAGCCATGGTTGCAGATGTTGCAGGAAATGTTTCGTACGTAATGCGATTATATAGTAACACTATACACGAGCAATATAATACACGTGTATTGTGTGTAAATAAATTGTGTACAAATTAAATATACTATATATATGTATGTGTATGTGTGACTTCCCAATTTTTATCGACCCTCTACTGCCGATACCCTTCACTGCAATGTAATTTAAATATAATCCAACTCAGCAAATTTAAACGCGCGATGAAGTTACCATTCAATGGGGAGCTTATACGCGTCGCATAATTAAGTTCCATGATAAATGGAACTGAAAGAGAGAGAGAGAGAGAGAGAGAGTGCGAGAGCATTATGTTTTCAAAAGAACTGTATATGTGTTACTAAATGGAAAGCACTTATTATATTTCGAAGCAATAATACAATACAGCTGATCTATCAAATTTATAGTTTTCGTTTATATATCGAAAAAGTCAAACAATAAATAGTACATTGTGCGATTAATAAGAAAATAAAATAAAATAAAATTTCTTTTAAATTTCACTTAAATTTAAAACTTATTTAATTCAAAGTTAATTTTATATTTAAAAAGAATTTATTTATTAATGTATGATGCGGACAAATATATTCACACATAGATATTACATTTTCTTATTCTTGTAGAGAAAATAAAAGTAGGGTACGAAAGAATTTTTCATATCTTGTATAATTTCGTAGAATTTCCTTTATTCTACATTATATTCTAAATTAGAAATATCTGCGAAACCATTTAAGAAATAAAGCTCTTCACTGAGAGAGTGAGTTAGAGAGAGAGAGAGAGAGAGAGAGAGAGAGAGAGAGAGAGAGAGAGAGAGAGAGAGAGAGATATTGTACTCACCGATCACATACATATTTCTTTGCTTTACGTTTACTCAATTGCGTGCTTATTAAGCGTGACAAATTCTTTATCCACGTGAAATGCATGACCTTTTTGCCATATCGAATTCCATATATGAGCAAGATCGGAA